TTTCCCAACCTTTCACCTTCAGCCTATGTATGTCTTTTCCTATCAAATGCGTCTCCTGTTGGCAGCATATTGTTGGGTCTTGTTTTGTGATCCATTCTACTAGCCTGTGTCTCTTGATTGGTGAGTTTAAGCCATTAACATTTAGGGTTATTATTGAGATATGGGTTGTTCTTCCAGCCATATTTGTTTATTTATGTTACTAAACATGGTTTGTTTTCCTCTTTGATTATTTTCCCCCCTTTAGTGTCCTACCTCCCACTGTTGGTTTTCATTGTTATTTTCCATTTCCTCTTCCTGTAATGTTTTGCCAAGGATGTTTTGAAGAGATGGTTTTCTAGCTGCAAATTCTTTTAACTTTTGTTTATCGTGGAAGGTTTTAATTTCATCTTCCATCCTGAAGCTTAATTTCGCTGGAAACACAATTCTTGGTTGGAACCCATTTTCTTTCAGTGTTTGAAATATGTTATTCCAGGATCTTCTAGCTTTCAGAGTCTGTGTTGAAAGATCAGCTGTTATCCTGATTGGCTTACCCCTAAATGTGATCTGCTTCCTTTCTCTTGTAGCTTTTAAAATTCTCTCCTTATTCTGTATGTTGGGCATCTTCATTATAATGTGTCTAGGTGTGGGTCTCTTATGATTTTGCACATTCGGCGTCCTGTAGGCTTCTAGGATTTGGGGTTCTGTCTCATTCTTCAAGTCTGGGAAGTTTTCTCGTATTATTTCATTGAATAGATTGCTCATTCCTTTGGTTTGAAACTCTGTCCCTTCCTGTATCCCAATGACTCTTAAATTTGGTCTCTTGATGTTATCCCATATTTCTTGGATGTTCTGCTTATGGTTTCTTAACAGTCTTGCTGAGCTGTCTATGTTCTTTTCAAGTTGAAATACTTTATCTTCATTGTCTGATGTTCTGTCTTCTAAGTGTTCTACTCTGCTGGTAGTATTCTCAATTGAGTTTTTAAGTTGGCTTATTGCTTCCTGCATTTCTAGGATTTCTGTTTGTTTGTTTTTTATAACCTCTATTTCCCTGTATAGTTGATCTTTTGCTTCTTGGATTTGTTTATGTAATTCATTGTTGAAGTGATCTTTCATTGTCTGATTTTGCTGTCTGATGTCTTCCTTGAGACTCCAGATCATCTGAAGCATGTATATCCTGAATTCTTTATCTGACATTCCATCTGCTGCAGCTATTACCTCTTCTAACGTTGAGTTGACCTGCAATGCTTGTGGTCCTTTCTTTCCTTGTCTCTTCATACTGTTCGCGTTCCTTTCTACTTGGTGAAACTGTTGTGGTATTGAATTTTCCCCCTATAAATTTATATTGGTCTTGTATAGTTGCAAAGTCTCCCTCGCAGGCGCGGGCAGCGGCTCTGTCCCTCTGCGGGCTGCTAGGCTTGTTCTGTCGGTGGTCACAGTTCTGTCTACTTTGCTGGCGCAGGCAGCGGCACTGCCCCTCTGCAGGCCTCTGGGGCTGTACTGCCAGTGGGTCGCAGGTCCGCCTACCTTGCAGGCGCGGGGAGGGGCGGCTCTACCCTTCCTCAGGCCACTGGGCCTGTTCTGTCTCTCGGTTGCAGGTCTGGCCTGTTCTTATGGTGGTCACAGTTCCGTCTACCTTGCACGCGCAGGGGGGAGGGGGCGGCTCTGCCTCTCAGCAGGCCACTGCTCCTCTTCTGCCGGTGGGTCGCAGGCCCGCCTACCTTGCAGGAGTGATTGGAAGCTCTGTCCCGCCGCGGGCCACTGGGCCTTTTCTGTTGGTGGTCACCGTTCCACCTACCTGGCAGGCGCGGGGGGTGGGGGGGTGGCTGTGCCCCTCAGCAGGCCACTGGGCCTGCTCTGTGCGTGGTCACAGTTCCCTCTACTTTGCCGGCGCAGGGGGAGGGGGCGGCTCAGCCTCTCAGCAGGCCGCTGCTCCTCTTCTGCCGGTGGGTCGCAGGCCCGCCTACCTTGCAGGAGTGATTGGAAGCTCTGTCCCACCGCGGGCCACTGGGCCTTTTCTGTCGGTGGTCACCTGGCAGGCGCGGGGGGTGGGGGGTGGCTCTGCCCCTCAGCAGGCCGCTGGGCCTGCTCTGTGCGTGGTCACAGTTCCCTCTACCTTGCCGGTGCCATCTGTTGTTAATTAATGGAATGAAACTGGAGTCACTAGAGTACAACAGTGAATGAAAGGTCAGTGAATGGAAAAAACTGTCAATGAAGGAGGATGTCAGCAGAGTGGAATATTGTCATAGATAAAGATCAGGGGAAATGTACTCTTTGGCTGAGGTAGTGTTTTCTGGAAGTGACTGAGAGCCCCAGTTTGGTACATTTCAAGCCAGACTGGGCACTAAATGTATGATTTGATTTCATTGAAATCTATTAAATATTTAAAAAATTATTTGGCTATTTGTGTTTGTGCTAGATATTAGTTGAAAAATATTTGTAAACAAGAGGTTTCTTTTTGTTTTACGATGCATTTTACAATGTAGTGTTGGTTGGCTTTTTGTTTTGAGGCCAAACAATTGTTTCTTTCTTTTATTAATTTCTATTCTCTGCATGGAATTTTTTAGCATCACACTGGCTTTTGAGATAAGTTGAAGTTAAAGTAATCTAGGATCCCTGTGATAATTAGTGATAGAGTTGAGCCTGGGATAATCAGTTTATGATTGCTGTGAAATAGTATCCCTCTGAAAACTGTTTTGTGGAGAAGCTTGAAAGCCAAGACATCTTCAGCCTCACTGCCAGCTTGCACACTGTGATCATGAACAAACCAGTGACCATATTTACATTTCAACTAGTTCATTTGTAAACTTTGTTATGACTTTCATACAAAGTATATTTCAAGTCTCTTATCTCTGGTCATGTCAGGTTTCCTTCTCTTATTTTTCCCCCGCATCAAAACTTTCCAGCCATATAGCTTTAGGGAAGCAAGGCTCTTCCATCAGTTTAGGAGAGGGCAGTTGGCTATCATTAACCTGGTACTAAGAACTGGCAGATCACAGGTGGTGAAGCTGGACCCCACAGCCATCAGCAAGACTGGGCTCTGCGTGCAAGGGAAGAGTTGAAATTAAACCCACAGGACTCAGAGAGGCAGACTCATATCCTAGCTCTGCTAGTTATTATGCAATGTCATTCTAAAACTCTATTTTCTTATCTGTAAATGGGAACGGTAATGGTACCTACCTCATAGGGTTATTATGAATATTGAGAAATTATACTTGTAAAGGGCTTAGAGTACCGCTTGCCACATGGCAAATGTTTAGTACATCCTATGATTACTTCATATTATTTGTAAGTATGATTACTCATAAGTTTAAAATGAAATTCAAATGGAGTTTCTTTTTATTTCTCTGAAAACATTTACTGGAACATTGTTTTATTAGAATTAAATGATAGGTCATCCCATGAACTGTACTGGATCCAGAAAATAAAAAATACATATATGAAAACAGGTTTTTTTTTTTTTTTTTAGCAAAACACTAGAATCATCTAATGCTGTAGAACAATTTAAAATCATACAATCAAAATAGTCCCTATTGTTATGTTGGGTGGTATAATAAGGTAAGCAAAGAATGATGAGAATCTTTTATCATGTTATGAGAACTAACTGGGGGAAAGAAACCACACTTTAAATAAACAACTGTGTTGTACAGTTAGAGACACTGAAAAGGAACAGTAACGTAAGTAAGATTATAAATTCTAAACAGTAGGCACTCACATACCAGTATTGGCTGATCCCTGTCTTTGAATCTATCTGTGGTTTATGCTTGTAGGTATAGAATTCTAATTGGCTACTTTTCAGTAGTTGCAATAATCCTAGTCTAGCATTTCTGTAAATGTGCATTACATTAGCAAGTTAATAGATTTTTAGAGACAATTCTGTAGTCAAATGAATTTGCAAAGCTCATTTGGCTTAAATAAATTTAACCAGTTTCTTTGGAGATAATTTTGGAAGACATGGTACTACCTTCTAATAAAACTTAATATGTTAATTTTTAATTTAATAGTATTATAAATATATAAGTATTATAATTCAAATCTCAGTTTATGAGTTTGGACTTATGAAGTAATGAGCATTTGGACAGCAAGGGATTTTATGAAAATTTACCAATCATTTTGGTTCCTAGGTTTGAATTTGGATAGGATTATTTAGATTGGAAACCCCAGTGAAGACCTTAATTTTTTCTTTTCCCAGAGAAGGCAAGAATGCCTCCTTTGGCTACACAGATCTCTCTTTTTTTTTTTTTTTTTCTTTCCCATTGAGTGGTGGCAAGATTGTATCTTCATTAAGTCATAGAGCCAATCATTAACAGGACTAGAAAAATACTGAACTTTTCAGAATCCAGGAATCTTGTCTCATGAATTTAGGGTCTGTCAACACTTCTTTCTAGTGTTTAGTAAATGAACAGATCTTCAGAAATCAGTGGTAATCAGTAGGAACCTTGACTAACTGCCTACAGAATCCTAAGAACTTGATATAGATAATATTTCTAAGAGTAGGGGCATATTTTTGATATGTTTGAAATTTTTAAAAATATGTATAATAGGAAGATGTAAAGTTCTAGAAAGAATTATGTGATAAATTTTACGTAGAAGAAGTAACATTTGGCGTTGGTTCACAGTTTTTATATCCCTATTTTGCTTCTGTGCAAAATTGTCTTAAGTGGTTATTTGTTACTGACTTTAAATTCTCTTTATTATCCACAAAGATCATTTGTTTGAGGCTGAGAAGTGGGGAGCAGATATCAGGATTTGTGAAGATGAAGAGCATATTTGAGAAAGAAGAGTCATGTAAAATGCCTTTAGGACTTGCATATTCCATATTGTAGCCTTATAAACCAAGACCTGTTACTGGATCCTATGATCAAATTTAGCATCAGCAGCTAAAGAAAGGAACTCATAGGGAGTGGTATCCACTTGGATCTGTGGGATTTGATTTTTCTATTCTAAGTAATTTTAGTTGAGTAGTTCACAAATGGCTGATTTTTACTTTGTGCATGACATAATCTTATAATGTTTATTCTTAGGTGGGTTTGCTGAGTTCTCTCGTTGTTTCCCTGGCCTCTGTGAAGGAAAATCCACTCTTGTCCCTACCTGCATTTCTCAGCCTTGCTTGCCTGTTGCCAACATTGGGCCAACACGAATTCTTCCCAATCTTTATCTTGGCTGCCAGCGAGATGTCCTCAACAAGGTGGGTGCTCGGAAAATATCCTTGAAAACTCAGTTTATTGGTACAGCTAGAAAAACAGCAATTGCCCATTATGTGTCATTTGAACACACCATGATCCCGGAAAGGAAGTATACCATTCTTAGTATGAATCCCCAGCTAACACTTGCATCATTAGGGTGGTATTTTGTTTGATGTGGTCATATTTACTTGCTTTCCTCATAGGTCCATGAGACCTGAAATAGGAGAATTTTTAGAAGTTTAGCGTCATTTTCTTGGGCTATTGTAGTAATTGGATGCACTCAGGAAGGCTAGTACTTTTACATTTAGAAATGTGTTTACTTACTAGAAAGGAACTCGGGTTGGGCTTGGATTGAGGAATGTCCTCATGATGACCGCTGTTGGGAAAGGTGGCAAACCTTTAGAGAGGAAACCCCAGTGAAGACCTTAATTCCCCCCCCCCCAAAGGAGGCATTCTCCTTTGAAAAGGAAGGTTAAAAAAGTATGCATTGCCTGCCCACTGTGTGTCTAAAGCTTGTTGGAGCAGTTTGGTTGAGAAAAAAGAGGCTTGTAAGAGCAAGGGTTTGGAAAGGGTGTTGGTATTACTGAACAAGCATGCCCTAAGAGAGAATTGATGCCTATGCATATAATGGTACAAATATAAAATAGAATTAAAATCTGACTCAGCAGCTTATGTGCTCTTACATGTGCTAGGAGGAAACAGTGGATTTACTGTCTGCAAAAGTGATTTTTCTCTAAAACTTCTTAATTTATGTCCCTAATTGAAAAAGCAATTGAAGAGATCTTAATTCAACTATTAATGATTTACAGATGCTACTTCCTCTGTGAAGGGCAGTAGTACCCCTTAACATTTTCTCCTTGAATGACTAGAACAATTGGGCTAACTGTAAAGTAAGCTTCCAGATTGGCTTTCTTTAGCACATGCAAAGCAAACTTTCCCATGAGGAAAAAATGACTGTCTTTGGGTAGTAATGAGGCATTATAATCCCCATCTCCCCCCCCCCCCCAAACTCCCACCTCTTCAAAATTTTGCCTCAATATTGTATTGCTAATGCACTTGCTCTTATTGTGAGATCTGCTTATTTGAGACTTGAAGGCTTATAGAACATTTCTGGTGGGGTTACCATGCCTTTGAGCATGGAATTATTATTAATTCTCTTTTCAAGATAAGCAAACTATGTTACAGAAAACAAAATTAATTTTTTGGAGTAGTGAACAACCCCACAGTTGATTTATTCATTAATTATTCACTCAACAAATTGAGCAAAAACACTGGAAGACAGATTCTAGTGAAGATCAGCAGTTGTAAAGAGTGGGTATCCTGAGTAGAGTGGGTATTCAACTTGTTTCTGGACATACTCTGCTCCCCAGTTCTTGCTTTCAATCTGTGTGTGTGTTTCACTCTGAGTCACTTGTCTTTTTATAAGGATGCCAGTGATGTTGGATTAACCCCTCTCTTTCCTCCTCTGGCATGAATCCATCTTAACTTACATTTTAAGAAAAAATTTTAAATTGTTCTAATTAGTTAGTTATATGTGAAAGTAGAATGCATTTTGACACATCATACATAAAGGAGTATAATTTCTCATTCTTCTAGTTGTACATAATGTAGAGTTAGGTCATATAATCATACATGCACATAGAGTAATAATGTCATTCATTCCATCATTCCTACCCACATAGCCTCTCCCCTCCCCAAAATTAATTTCTTAAAGTCACATGCATTCCCAGAGCAAATCTAGAGATAGTTTATTTAATCCCCAGATTTAAAAAAAAAAGTCTACTGAAGAAATCTAATTGTGGTAAAACTTGGTGAGCAGGTGACTCCACAAATAATTGTGTTACAGACCATTTTTGTGACTTTGACATTCAACTAAATAACCAGATGCAGTTATTTCTGATTATGTGCAGGCAGTTTAGGAACAATAAGCCTTTTTTTTTTTTTTTTCCCTATACTTGAGATTGAACCAAGAGGTTCTCTGGTTCATGAACTCCAATCCCAGCCCTTTTTATTTTTGTTTTGAGAAAAGATCTCACCAAATTGCTGAGGCTGTAAACAGCACACTTATTTTGCTCTAGACATTTCTCCTATTTAACAAGTATGTGTTAGTAAACAACTTTGTGAGCACCTATAAGGCAAGAGCAGTTAAATCAGAACCTGGAATTGAGAATAAGGAAAGGGGGAAATTTTTTGTTTTTCATGGCCCTATGGCCTTCAAACATATAGTTAGTGTGAGGGGAGAATGGGCTTATGGAAGTTCATGGGACATCAGCATGGGCAAGGAGTCATCATGGAAGATTGTCATGAAACTTTTAAAAAATATATGTATAGGGGACTAAGGTTGTGGCTCATAGGTAGAGCACTTGGATAGCATGTGCAAGGCCCTGGGTTTGATCCTCAGCACTACATAAAAATAAATAAATAAAATAAAGGTATTGTATCCAACTACAACTAATAAATAAATATTTTAATAGAATAGATGTATAGATGTAATGGTAAGAAATGGATATTAAGAAATAAGACACTGGTAAGGTAGACAGCTTTGAAAACAATGAGCAGGAATTTGTATCTGAGTTCTGTGTTCACTGTTGACAAGAGCCTGAAGGGAATTTTAGAGATTGATACTCCAGAAATGTTAAACAAATTCCCCAACATCACCCAGTTGCCTTTTAGAACCAGATTTACCTTTCACAAATAGCATAAACTAACTGATCTTCCTGCTGAACTTCTTGATTTAAACAGGAAGGAGCAACAATATGCTTCTTTTTCCTTAAAGATCTCTAAAAATGAAAATTTTATAATCTTTCCTAATAGTACATATATTTTATTACAATTCAAAATTTGAAGTCCTGAAAAATATTACCTACAAGGCTACTAATTTATTAGTCTTTTTCTAAAATAGAGGGCCACCAAGATACACTAAAAGTTTGTCACAGAAGTATTCTTAGAAAGATCATAATACTTACCATTTAAAATTCTAGAAAAACTCTTTGTTATTGTATTTAACCTGCATAGGAGGATTAGAAGGTAGGTTGGCCCCGAGTTGTTAAGTCACTTGCCCAAGATTATGTCACCAACTTCAGAGTTCATCAGGGACGGAGCATATGCAAATCCAAGCTACTCTGATTTTCATGTTTATATAACAGAAAATATCAGTCTTCTGTAAAATTGAATTTTCTACAGCAGGCTGTTTTGATGGACTGCTGAATCTTAACAGTCTGTTAGATCACAATTGAGGTTTTCCACAACAAATTCTACACCATCCATATCTAGTAGAAGTATAATGAAAACCAGATACATAATTTGATTCCCAAGTTTTTTATTTTTTTTGAAGATATTGTGAATGGAGTGGTTGTCCTCATTTCCATTTCAGAGGATTTGTCGCTGACAGATACATAATTTGAAATGTTCTAAGTAGCCTGAGTAAAACAGGTGAAATTAATTTTAATAACATTTCATTTAAACCAGTATATCTAAAATGCTATCATTTCAACATGCAACCAGTATTAAAAATCGAGATATTTTACATGTTTTGTCCTACTGAAATCTGGTGTGTGATTTATTCTTACTGCACATATTAAATTGGATTAGCCACATTTTTGGTGCTCAGTAGCTGTGGGAAGCCTATTGCTACCTTACTGGACAGTGCAGGTCAATACTTGATGTTTCTGATGTTTTAAAGATATGGTTCTCTGTTAAAGACCGCAAGTCATTGGTTGCAAAAATATACTTTCATTTTACTTGTCCCTCAAACTGTGCTTTTGTTTCTTACAGTCTGTTCTTTCATTCTGTAGTATCTGTAACTACAGGATGTAACTAAAGCTGAAATGGGAACAAAATTAAAAGTCATTTGCTGATGCCCAGTTTGTATCTGAAATGTGTGGGATTTGAGAATCTGTTATTATGTGAAAGAAAAAGTTCCTTTATCATTTTTCTTATCACTTAAAACTTTAAATGGAAACTTTTCTTTCACATTTAAATACATGAAATGTATGATAGAATTACCTACTGCAAGTGTTTACTAACCTGCACTGTATGAGATGAGCTGCTTCAGCTGCTTTACTAGCGCAGGTCTGCTTCTTCTTCCTGAGTTATTGTCTGGTTGTCAACATTCTTTATTTAGCTTTTTATTACAGCCTTTTAACATGCAAAGTTGGTTTTCCTATGTTACCCTATTGTTTTGCCTGCTAGTAAGATTATTGATACTTTCTCTGTTGTTCTTATGGCAGTTAGGCAATATCTTGGACACAATATCATTGAATGATGCTCTCAGAGTTTTCAAGAGAGAAATACATGATATAGGAAGACAGAAGGTCATTAGAGTTATCAGTATAAACGTTTAGTGTCTACCATGTGTAGAATCACCATACAGTGTGCAAGTTGGTTGGTTAGATAAAACCTATTTTTTAAACAATAATTCACAAGTCAAAATGATTCACAGTATGACTATCATTACTTAGGCAGTACTGCATAATGGGTGAGTGTCAGCTCTGAGGGTGGATAGGTTTGCTTCTCTGTTTTTCACCTTACCAGCCATATCACTCAAGATAAGATCCTGAATCTCAGTTTCTTTATCTGCAAATTGTAATAATTCCCCCCTCACTGTTTATGTGATATTCAAATGATGATTTGCATATCATCAAGTGCAGTCCCTGCTTTATAGGGGACACTCATCATTATTGTCAGCATAGGATAGAGTACTAGGCATGATGCTAACATGAGTGGTGGAGTGGGTTTTGTGGCTTGAGGAAGGCTGGATAGAGGAAGTAGGACTTGGTCAGTTTTAAAGGCAAATGGAGTGGCAAATTCAAATTGACTCATGAAATTGACTTCAGTAAGGTAAATTATAATTTGATTGTCTATAATTGTTATGCCATGGTGATTTAATGGGACTTCTTGTCTTCAGACTAGCTGACCATGAGGAAATTGCCCAAATAAAGCAGTTTTATTAAAGCCATCTATTAATCTGTACTCTATTGCTCCATCAACAGGTCATAGAAAC